TATATATATATATATATATATATATATATATATATGTGTATATATGTGTGTATATGTATATATATATGTATATATATATATATATACATATATAGTGTATATATATATATATATAATACATATATATATATATATATATATATATATATATATATAATATATGTGTGTATGTATGTATGTAGATGCTTTCGGTAACTCTCTCACGATCGAATGCCGTCCGACTTTCATCATCGTTTTACGTAAACCCGAGCCGTCTTCTCGACATTCCTCGCTTTGAGGAGAAAAAGACATCCGTAACATGATCAGTCATAACGATCAGTCAAAAAGTCATAACGTCGATCGAGTCGAGAAGAAAAAACAAAGATCGCGCGAATTCTCTGCGCTTTTGCCTTATAAACCGATAATTACCGTTCGCCGAGTCCTCGAAGTTTTGCCAAAGACGAGAAAAAATATCTCACGAGCGATACCTCGAACGTTACGCGCTCAAATAGCTTGAGGCTGAAAATTACAGCAACTGCCAGTTGCGGATTACGTTCATGCCGGCGCATAGTGTGAAAAAACGTCGATCTGAAGGAAGATAGTTCAGATTTGCTATATTCATACGGATTACCATTTAATACTTGTTTTGTATAATCAGCGCTTGTATCGACACTCTCTTTACACTAATATAATCTGTAGAGCTGTTATTAAAACGGTGCATGATGTCGTAAAGCAATGACAGCTGTTAATTATTCCTGTACTTCACGCAATAATATTATTTTACGATAAGTACAATCCGATCTAATAAATGGATAGTAAATTGTCTGAAAGCATGTTGTAATTTTTTAAATAATAGATAATAAGATATCATTTAAGATATCTGTTATTTTGTGTTTAATGTATATAGAGTGTCCCAGACCTCCATGATCACACTTTGCGAGAACGTAGAATGGATTGAAGTGAGCAAGAAAGTCCCGTGCCGTTTTGCGATATTTGCAATAGTTTTCGAGAGATTAATTATTTTGTTTAAGCTAATGAGAGCACGGGAAGCGGCAGTCGAAAGAAAGATGTCTTCGGCCGACGCGCGATATATGCTAGTCTCACTTTAAGCAGAGTTTAGCTATAAAGGAATAATTTTTGATTGGTCCGCTATGTTTCATCAAATCTCACACAATATCCAATCACAGTAAAGTTAGGTCTATGGCAGTAGGTTAGATTAGGTTAAGAAAAGATAGACGAAGAGAGAGATTGAAAATATATCTCTTTCTCGCAGGATTTTGATGAAACCGCGCGTTATGGCCAAACTCTGCTTAAAGTGACTCTAAGATATGCGAATCGCGACTCGCTGCGTAGCTACGAGACATAGCAAGGCTTAATATACTAACACATGTGCATGACATATCCGTGTGCCGAATCGACGGCGAATCGAAGCATGCGTCGCTTCGGCTGCATACGTGTATGTAGAGATGAAACAACGAAGCGGCAACACACTCTTAGATTCGGCACACGGATATGTTATGCACATATGTTAGTGTATCAAGCCTCACTGTGACTCGTAGCTATGGGCGGAAGGACGCAGTGAGTCGCGATTTGCGTGTATCACTGTCGCACACCGGCCGAAGACTTTCTTTCAGCTGCCGCTTCCCGTGGTCTCAATAGCTTAGACAAAATAATAAATCTCGCGAAAACTATTGCGAATATTGCAAAATATCGCGGCACGGGACATTTTTGCTCACCTCAATCCGTTCTACGTTCTCACAAAGTATGATCATGGAGGTTTAGGACGTCCTGTATATGAGTAGGCGATTTTTTTCTTTTATTTATAATATAACAAGAGATATAACAAATTTTCACATTATCCCATAATTATTACTTGTGAACCTTCAAAATTTTGATTTGTAAAAAACTCATTTGCGAAAACTTACTAATATTAAAGTTACACCATATTTGTAATAATAATAATGTCGATCAAGGATGCGCCTTTTTATTAATTAGACAAAGAGCAAAATTAACTCACACAATGAAAAGTTTATTATATTCATTGTATCATATTTTGATTAGTTCGTGATAAAAGTATGAAAAAACGTATAATAATAATTTCTTTTTAATTATCAAATATATTCTTGTGCTTAAAAAAATATTTAAAAAGTATTTAATGAATATAATCGACATATAATTGCGATTATGCAACTATTAATTAATAGTTTAAGAATAAGTTAAGTATAAGAATTATTTCTCTCTAGATTATCCATTCTTATGTTTAAAAAACATTTAAAAACTTATTTAAATGCGAAATAATTATTGTTATGTAACTCTGTAAGTATTAATTAAAAGTTGAGGTATATCAGAATATAATAATTATTTCCCTTCAGATTGTTCACTTGTGAAAGCACACTGTGCGGCGCGTAAAGTTTCACGTTTTTTGAAATCTTTAATTGTTTGTTCGTTTTTGTTGTGAGCGTATTCTCCAAGTTTCACGACGGCGGTGTCTCGCGTTCGGACGTAATGTTTCACGATTCTTCTCTGTTATCGTAGCAGCCGGGCAAGTTTTCGGCGCGATGACGTGGAACATCGTGGCGAGCAGGAGAGACGAAACCGCGATTGGCGTCGTGAATTACCGAAACATTTCGGTCCCCTGCAGGCACCTCGCCTGACCTATCTTTTATATCACGTAGTGATAAAACGGAAAAGATACAGGACACGTATACACGCACACACGTACATATGCGTAGAGACGCTCACCACCCGGATGCTTCTGTAGGGGTTGAAACGGCCAGTGATGGTCGATCTCTTCGTCCGGCGAAGCGAATTTCGGAATTTCTCTTTTTTCTCTTTTTTCTCTTTTTATCTTTTTATTACTGGACCGTTCGTCACCAAAATTCGTCGTCTGCTACTTTGAAAAGATCTATTCGTGATTATATTTACGCGTGCGTGAATTAATAAGACTCGTATTAATAGTTATTACTTGAAACTTGTCTCATATGAAGTCTCAGATTTGGGTTTCTTTATTTGAACCATATGATATTTGCGACATTACATTTATAATCACGACTTAGCTGAAAAACTCGCGTTTAACTCTAAATTCAAATTCGAATATCTCACTTGTGGCAAATTTCAAGCAACGATTGTTGATATGGCTGTAAGATCCAAAATAATAGTAGTTGTTTGAAACTTGTCTTACTTGAAATGCTTAGATTTGAATACAAAGTTAGATTTGAGTTTTTCAGGTAAATCGCGATTGCACGCACGAACACACACACACACACACACACACACACACACACACACACACACACACACATATATTATATGATTCAAATGAAAAACTCAAATTTAACTTGAAATTCAGATTTGAATATTTCATGGAACGAGTGTTAAGTAACGAATATTAATAGGAGCCGAAAAGACTCGCGAGTTTTGATCAACAACGAGAGATCCTGAAATTTTTATCTCACAAGTGACGCGACGTAAATTTTCTAAATTCGTTTCAAACATTCACGTTTTGCATTTTAAAAACGACCCCGATCTAAACGATGTTTCTTATCGAAGATATAAAAATTAATGGAATATCTTTAATCTTCAATTTTCTTCAAGATTTGTGTATTACGCTGACAAAAAGAAAGTTATTGCGACTAAAATAATAATTTCTCTGGTACACGACCTTTTCTCGATTGTCATCACCAGTTGTATCGAAATTCTCATACTTTTCGGAACCTAACGAATTGCGCCATCGAATCTCTGACGAACGGCATGTCATTCTCGGGCGAGAAATCCGAAATCCGCGACGAAGCCGGAAAAGCATACAGAGGGAAAGGAAGAAACAGCACCGACGGTGATCTCTCGCGAGATCCCGAGAGTTCTCGTCGCCCGTTGATGTGTTTCCCGAAATCGACGGCGGAGAAGCGCGCGAGAGAGGCGGCCGGCGAGAATCACGGGATCTTTAGATCTACTAAATTGTCCGAACATCCCCAGTGATCGAAGCACGTTGAGGTTGACGATATATACGTAGGCACGATATATTATATACATATATGATAATATATGTGAACCGACTGTCGCAATGCTATCCTGTGCCTAGCTTCTCCTGTCACTATACAAATAACAGCTAGCTATACATGATTATCCAGCATGCCATGTCTCTCGAAACACCTGTCTCTACGAATATTCCTCAGTATACGCTATACGAGTATGTAATATATATATACATATATATATTACATATACCAGCTTTCCTTCATCTTTTTCGTTATATACTGCGGACATGAGCGACGCGCGATAATATCTCGCGTGGTGGATATACGATACCTCATATTTGATCTAATCATTAATTACTACGTGTA